CTCTGCTAAGCTATGGATATGACCTGATAGCTTAGAAAGACGTATTAGTGAAAGTGGTGAACCAACAATCACTAGAGTCGAATATTGGCTAATTAGTAGCCGATGCGAGGAGTCTGTCGCTAACTGTGGTGAACCAGTCAGTTAGCTAGAAACCTCTACTAAGTTGTAAATAGGACCTGACAACTTAGTAAGACTCTTGATCGTGAGAGTGGTGGACCAGCAATCGCGAGAGTCGAATATTGGCTACAGTAGAGCCTGCCACGCGGGTTTTAGGCCTTGATTTCTCGTGTCCTTAGAGGATTCGCCGAGAAAATGCAAGGAAAATCACTGGCCGATGCACCAATTTGGTGGGTACCAAGTGATTAGGGGGTAGACGAGTTGTGGAATAAGGTTTATTCGCACGGGCGTAGATTATTCGAGAAGAGATCGAGGTGCCCCGGTGTAAACCAGGAAGCAACTTCTAATACATTCGGTTGCTCCTTATATACGAAGGAAGGCGGAGCTGAACCGAATACAGGGTACAATGTACACGAGTTGGTGCTTGAAAGGAGATGCCGCCGATTGGCTACACTCCTGGCGCACGGGTACCACTCACTCTTGAGTGATTAGATACTCAAGAGTGAGTAGCTCACAATTTAGCCTACGGGTATTCCGTAGGCTATCTAGAATATAGAGTTCATCAATGGTTGATGATACAGAAATCATCAACACTAACAGAGATATAGCGAAGGACTGTAGCTAAGCCGCGAAAGTTCCTAAATCCGCCTGCACTTTTGGCGTACCTTTTGGGAGGTTCGCCCGCTTGCCTTTATGAATCGTAAAACTTTAGGGACCTTGCTATTGGACGATGCAGGTCTCGTGCTCCAGCCTATGACAATCCTCGAGTTAGCTAAATCAGGTTCTCATGGATATTGCCAAAACGCAAAGATCGCAAAATTCGTCGAAATTCATTTTGAGTGGTCGCATAACATGCTGATTGCAAATTCTAGATTCAATTCGCTCAAGGGATTTTACCGTATTAGATACAGTGTTTAGATAGATCTCTAACCGCGGACTGCTTTGATGTCTGACTATGTTGCTGAAGCCCACACAACTACCGTATCCAGAACAGCAGGTTTTCTTGAGCGAAGTGAACACAAAATTTGCAGTCAGCGTGTTATGCAACCGCTCACGATGAATTTCGACGAAGCTGCGATCTTTGCCTTTTGGGCTATATTCATGGGACGCGAGTTGGTAAGCTCGTAATTTGGCGAATGTTATAGACTGGAGCCTGACACATACTTAGATACTTAGATGGCCCGTCCTCACGTGAAGTCCGGGCCCTAGTACAGAAGTTGCCATTTTCCCCTGTCCCTCGCTTCAGACATTCACGATCTTGGCCGTCGTCGGTGGCTGCGTCCACGAGTTCCAGAAGCGAAAATCGTATCCAGCTGATTTCTCAGCTGGATACGACTAGCCTGAAGCATACACCGTTAAATAGCACGGTTTCTCAAGATTGTATCTCATAAGGTAAGCAGGCGAATTCTCGAAAAAAATACGCTAAAAGTGCAGGCGAATTAACTTTCATGGTTCAGCTACAGCTCTCTCACTATATCTCTGCTAAAAAACTATGTACGCAAAGACCACATTTATCGTTTTCGGACACCTGCTGATTACGAAAATCACATCGGCTTGGCAAAAGAGCTCCAGATTTTAGTGTTATAGTGAGTAGAATTTGGAACAACATGATTTTTCCAAAATTCACCAGCTCTTTTATTTTTTTTTTGAGAAACCAAAATAAAAATTCCTGTTCGGAACATACAGTGACCGCCAAGAAATTGCGGACAAGCCTCCCTCCCTTTATCATCGCTCTTTTTCAGAAGGAAAACAAAGATAAAAAAATGTAATGATTGCATGAGGTGATAGAGCTCTTCAAGATCTACAATCTACACTTTGCGTTTTTCGAAAAACATGTATTTTAAAAATTTTTAAAAACTTTTTCTAAAAAAAGTCCGAAAATGGTCGCGTCACAATGTCGCGGACAGTACTTCTTCGAACGCAAAAATTTTCTTTTGAGTCCTGTTCTGAAGCTGAAACACAAGTAATCCAAACGGGTAAGCATACTACTATAGAGAGCTCGTCAAGAACTACACACTGGTTATGGTTGCTTCCCAAAAAAACACAAGCTTGCGTTTTATTTTGTTTTTTTTCCAAAGTAACTTCTGATTCTCCTTTTTAAGCCAAGTTTCTTCACATGGAAACCTATTCACGACATTCCAACAACGCTGTTCAGATAAAGTAGATGCTCTTTACCATTCTCCACGCATCTGACGTGTGCTGATGAGTTTCTTTGCTGAAAATGGCTCCTGGCAGTGCTTGCACATGACCCCACCTGCACCTCACCACTGACTTGTACCGCTTTGCAGGCTTGTAACTCGGCTTGTAACTCGGCTTTTATCAATGTGTGAGCCCGCAATTAGGCTTATTCGAAAGAAAGAGACTTCCTCTACACGATGGTATGCAAAAGAGATAGGTGTAAGAAACAGCGGAGATTTGGCGGATGGGGTGGAAAAACGCGGCCTCAGTGGTAGGGTGAGGATATCCAGCTAAAGTTGAATAGAGCTTCTTTCGCTACCAGTTCAATCCTGGAAGCTTGAAACTGTCAATGTTCTTGTAATAGATCCATTCTGAAGCTCTAGAACTGTTTTGGTGTTGATAAGAGCCCTCACTCCAACCACCACTGAGGCCGCGTTTTTCCACCCCATCCGCCAAATCTCCGCTGTTTCTTACACCCATCTCTTTTGCATACCATCATGTAGAGGAAATCTCTTTCTTTCGAATAAGCCTAATTGCAGGCTCACACATTGACTACAAGCCGAGCTACAAGCCTGCAAACCGGTACAAGTTAGTAATGAGGTACAGGTGGGGTCATGTGCAAGCACTGCCAAGAGCCATTTTCAGCAAAGAAACTCATCAGCACACGTCAGATGCATGGAGAATGGTAAAGAGCATCTGCATCCGAACAGCGTTGTTGGAATGTCGTGAATAGGTTTCCATGTGAAGAAACTTGGCTTAAAAAGGAGAATTAGAAGTTATTTTTGAAAAAAAGCAAAATAAAACTCAAGCTTGTGTTTTTTGGTAAGCAACCATAACCAGTGTGTAGTTCTTGACGAGCTCTCTATAGTAGTATGCTTGCCCGTTTGGATTACTTGTGTTTCAGCTTCAGAATAGGACTCAAAAGAAAATGTTCTCGTTCGAAGAATTATTGTCCGCGACATTGTGACGGGCCATTTTCGGACTTTTTTTAGAAAAAGTTTTTTAAAATTTTTAGAATACATGATTTTTGAAAAACGCAAAAAGTAGATTGTAGATCTTGAAGAGCTCTATCACCTCATGCAATCATTACATTTTTTTATCCTTGTTTTCCTTCTGAAAAAGAGCGATGATAAAGGGAGGGAGGCTTGTCCGCAACTTTTTGGCGGTCACTGTACGTGCAGACCAGTGGCATACCCAAGATTTTCGCTCGGGGGGGGGGGGGGACAAACACTAAAGCCACGCACCCCGAAAATTATGCTTTTCAGAATTTTCATGGGCCCATAACCCCAAAATTTTAGAAAAAGGGTGATTGGCGTCAGCCACGTACCGAAAAAATTTTTATAAGGTTAAACTGAATTTTTAAAAATTTTAAAAAGTATTTTAATCACTTACAAATATAAATAAGTCACTTACACATTTTTATAACTCATGTAAGTAACTACAAAAATTTCGCAACCCATTCTCGGAGAGGGGCCTTTCTCCCGCCTTCCACCCTCGGTACGCCACTAGTGCAGACATACATGCAGACATACAGACATATTGGACTGCTGCATAAGCTGGCAATTTAAATTGTCAGTATCAAAATATCATAACTTCTTATTAGAGAAATACTGAGACTTCTGTGAAAGCCCTTTTTACAGAAAGCAAAAACTCAAAAAATTTTCAGCATGCTTCTTCAAACTGGCTTTAACATGGCAATGCTCCCTTGGAGAACTGACAGGTATGTTAGTTAAGCATGGATAGATAAAGACATTTTTGTGGATCGTTTTGCATCCTAAAAGAGCCTATAGGGTCTTTGGTGCCGAGAGATTTTATTGACCGAACAAATAAAAGACCATTGTTTGACCTCGCTTCAGTACATATGTGCACGCTTGTTTAGAAATTACGAAAATTTTACTTCAAGTAAAAAGGACTTGATGGATGGTTCAGGCTAGCTTTTGCTTTACTCTAGCGCCTCCAACTTTGGACTAATTGATTGCCTCTGTTCGCAGAAAGTTATTGCTTGTAGAACATTTATGCAAAAAATTGTTCGACAACGAATTTTACTAGCAAGACGTTTCTATTTCATGAAATTGAACTTGTGCACATACTAGCCTGTTACATCCTTATTTCGCAACCAATAAAAAGACTTGACTTGAAAGGCACATTGTGAAGGTCCTTGCAAGACATATTAGGTGAAAATGTATCTCGGTCACTTGAAATCTCAAGTCTGCAAATTCATTAGGCTGAGGAACTTAATGGATCAATATGTGTTAGAAGGAGCAAGAAAATTTTTAATGATACATACAATATTCCATTAGAGGTGAAATTCACTAAAACAGCTGCTTTAAACATACTGCAAAAAAATTGGACAAAGCTTATGCAGCAGCCTAATACTAATTTTGAAGTGAGCAAGCGCTTGTTGTCGCAGTAACTTTTAAGCACCTAGCTGCGAATATACACAACCGTTTTGTTAAAGCACGACGCGGCCAGCCTGGCTTACACAAACTGCCTACAATTTGATTAACTGACAGGAATTTCTTTCAGAGCGTGGGTCCGTATTTGGTGTCCTTGCAAACTTATGTGGTATTCGATTAGTAAAAATGCTGCCACCGCTTGCGATTAGGTTTGAGCGTACACACAAAGTTTCGAGCACTTTTAAACGTGCAATGACTGCTCGTTATCAGTAGGTTTCTGGCAGCAGGCTTGGTCTTAGTTTGTCTTACCTTGCAAAACTCAACATCATGATTAACATCCCTGGCTAACGTTCTTGCCAAATTAAATTTGCTCGGTACTCTATCATGCCTAGAATTCGCCCAGTTAGTAGAGTAAAATGAGACACAGCTGATATTTCTAACTCACCAATAGTATCTGCTATACATAGGAGTAGGGGTATGGTATCCTTTCGTTGCACCCCTCGTTATGAGATAATGAATTCTAGTGAACAGCACGTCGAGTGGGTCAGTTATGTAGTTCTGGAAGAAGTGTTTCAAAAAAAGATTGCTCGAAAACACTACGTTTAGTATGAGATCATAATTTAATCCGTGTACTATGTTGCAAGCTGAAAGTGTAGCTGTTTTCAAAAATAGAATTAATGCGCTTCACTTGTCACATAATAAATACCCTGAAAACAGTAAATATTCTTGTTAATAGTTCAGTTTAATTACAGTTCAGCTTTTCATCTGCTGACTTGTAAAAGAGCTAAATTCTCTAAAAATCAAGCCTATTGATTGCTTTCCAGAGGATTGGTAGCCTCACTTACAGGGTCTCACAGCCCCACTCATGAATCTATACCAATGCGTTTATTGTCTGCTGCCTTTTCCATCGGGGCAGTGTAAGAGAAAAGAGCATTTTTTTAGTAGCTGGAGTATAACTCGATTGTCCGCTTCTGTCACATATTTCCGGTCGCACTGTCATATTCTTCCGATGCGGACACTTCACATAGGGGTGGTGTAATCGGTTGGTTCATTTCGGTTTTTGAGGATTTCTACGGATTGAATGGAAAGAGGTCGAAGCTAGCTAAGCTAGAAGAGACATTTAATGGTTTGGAGTTGTGGATGCTTTGTGCCGTTCTCAGGCCTCTGAGTACGGCGAACGCGCCAAAACGTTAGGCCATTCGAATAAAAATACAGCCATAACAAACCTGTTTGGCACAAAAAAAATTGGAGATTATACACTCTGAAAATATTTGAGTTTTCTTATCAATATTTCAGTTTAATTTCAGTTCGACTGCTTCATGTTTGCTTACATGCGAAGGAGTTGGGTTCTTCAAAAGTCAATCTTTTTAATTGCTTTCTCAATGTGGATTGCGAGTTTAACTTATAGAGTTCTACAGCCTCGCTCATGGATCTATACCAACGTGTTTATTATCTGCTGCCTTCTTCCCCCATTAAAGCGATGTAAGAAAAAGCTCAAAAAATTTATTTTCGCTGGGGCACACGTGAAATTAAGACCATTCAATCTCTGGGGCCGTAGTAATCTCCATAGACGTAATGTACGAGGTCGCAACCTAATTGTAAGCTCTAGCTCAGTTTCATGCAGTAAGCCAATCTATTTGAAGGCTATAATTATATCGCGAATATGTCGTGATCTTATTGTTAGACGCGGCCTGTCAGCTCGCAATATACTCGGGTGAAGCCGGCAAATCTTGTATACAGGGTGTCGCAAAATAAGTGCCTACTGTTTGATTGTTAGTAACTCTCTTGTCATGAAATCTTTCGGGAAGGATTAGGCACCATTGTGTAGATCTGGCTTCAGCTTAGATTTATAGTATGGAGCGAATTATTGATCTCCCTTTATTACTGTAATATTACGGTAGGAAACCCACTGTGAGATAGGCCGTTCGAAAAGCTTTTTGAAAAAATCTGAAAATTTGTGTAACGAGGTTTCCATGCATGCTGATTTCACTACATAACTTTTTTGCGCTTCGTAGAGCTTTTTAAATAGGATAATCACATTTTCGACAAATATCAGAAATCCTTTTTTACGTTGTATTCAGCATAAGTTTCGAGAAAAAAGCATTACGGTGAAGTGCGAGTTTTGCATTTGGGATCAGTGACCCTGATTAGCCTATTGTAAGAGTTCTTATTTCCTTTGGTTTTTTTTTTCAGAGGTAAAATATGACTCTCAATGACGCAAAATCTTCTCAAAGTTCCTACCATAATCCTACAGTAATGTAGAGAGAACAGTAAGTTGCTCCATACCGTAAATCTAAGCTGCAGCCAGCTTTATAAAATGGTACCAGGAGTTTTCTCGAAAGACTCAGTGCCAAGAGAATTGTTAACAATCAAACAGTGGGCACATTTTTGGGACACCCTGTGTAAAGCTAAAAGTCTGTTTGTCTGTCTGTCTGTGTGTACGTATGTTCCGAATAGCAATTTTTATTTCTGAACCGATCCGAACCAAACTCGGCACACATACACATCGGGGCGGGCGAGTGTCGTAGCCTACTTTTCGTCATGGATCGATATCGATTTCATCGATTTTTATCGATATTTTTGCAAAGTTCAAGCTACGGGGCTGGGAGTTGCCAAAGGGGTGTAATCGAGCATGCTGAGTACGAGAACAGGAATCGTTTTTTTTTACAAAGTTCGAGCTACGGGCTGGGAGTTGGCGCAGGGTGACCGAGCATGCTGATTACTGATCACTAAATCAGCGGGAATAGTGTAGCATGTAGACGTGGGCACAGGGGAAGGTCGTACAGGAATAGGAATGAGAGCTTTATCACAGTGTTTTGACAGGGCTGTACGGAGTCGGGTAAGCCAGCTAGTAGATCAATAAATTGTGGACTGAAGCTGAGCTCGAGCGTAGGTTGCAACCTCGTACGTCACGTCCATGAAGGTTACTAACGGTCCCTGGTGTGTTTTTCTTCCTCGCTTGAGAGCGATAACTCAAAGGTTATTCGCACCATGGCAGCATGTCCGTCATCTCTCTTTACTTATACTTACATCTATGGGCCTATTGAGTTTGGGAGATAAGTTTGATTTTTACAGTACATTCTGGTTTTTCGAAAAGCGCTTATTTTTTGTTCAATTGTTTATTCCTAATGAAGACGACCTTGTTGGACTGATAAGCTCGTTGGGTGCATTCAGGGCCCGGCAGGAGGTGGCATTTCAGAATTTTGAAAACGATATCCCCTTTGAAGCCAAAATTTCTTACGACTTCCCCTTTGACCCTATTTTTGACCCCCGTAAGTCCCTGACAAACAGATATACACAAATAATAAGATGGGCGGCCTCAGCGCTTATTATAGTAGTATTACCTGGCTTTTCTGGTCCAACCCGGGTCATCGTTTGAGGGGATGGCCAAAAACCACACTTTGTCCTTCTACCTTCCCGTCCTTTTGGGCCATATTCTCCACCCCTTTTCTGCAGTATCAATACTGCACTGCAGCCCTCCCCCTTACTCTCCTGCACGAGCTTACCCCAGAAAGGCTTATCGGAGTGACTGCACCTTCTAATTTTAAAGTGGAAATGAACTTCACTGCATTGTTCACACCAAAATGTGCAAGCAGTTTGTTGGCGGCTGGTAAGTGTTCACTTTCCTTGCAAGGTGCCAAAAATCATTAAATCGATATTCCACGAATTGCTTCGAAGGGTAGCTTAAAACCATCTACCGAGGCCGAAAACACATGTTTCCAAGGTTTCAGCTCAACGGGTTCATCCGCAAAGGAATCTATAAACTATAAAAAAACACAGGGCCAAGATTTGCACAAACTTTGACGTTTATATATCTAAGATACCACTCATTTATTAGTCAGCTGCGAAACTTTACAATTTACAATAACCGATTGCGATTGGAGCGCGCTTTCCGAGGCCGATCATAACACTATGAACCCTATTTGGGGCTGTATCGAGGCGGTGCCTTGGTGGTTTTGGAAGCGGATTTGAATATATAGTAATACTCTCGACCTAGTCCACATTTATGTAAAGAAATCCAGGAAATTATGTGAAGGGAAGCAAGGAGCCACTCCAGGTGGCTCCCAGGTGGCGCGGGAGCCATCTAATTTCGAAAAACACTTACCATTTTTTAAATTCACATAAGTTTCTCATAATTCTTCATACTTTTTTTGTGCTCATGGTCCTCCAACTATACAGCAAATTTGGTGCCATATCGTTACTTGTGCATTGAAAAGGAGCCTATTTTGTTATTTTCCTCTTGCAAGAATTGCGATTTGAATTCCCGCCTGCGGGCAGGCTAGCGATCGGAGCACAGGATCTTCACATTGCTGGAATCTAAGTTCATAGGACAGCAGCATTAACAAGGAATGATGAATAAAGAATGATATGTGCATTGTTTATCGGTAAACAAAGGGGAAGTCGTATTCTGGGGTCCGAGGCTCCGCCCGGACTCCAAAATACGACTTCCCCTTTGCTTTTTCGGGCCAAAAACGATATCCAGCTTGTGAAAGCGCCACCCCCGCCGGGCCCTGGGTGCATTATCGGATGCATAAACAAATATTATAAACCAGAGTGTTCCGAAACCACTTTGCAAATCATTGATATTTTTGAAACAGATTCGCTGTAGCTTGGAGACCCAGATTTGACACAAACTTATTGAAATTGCGCAAAGCACAATGAGAGTTGTAGAAGTAAACTAACGAGGCTTCCCAAATCTTGACAGATGTTTTTGAATCCTTCTATGATTTGTTGACCATCGATTCCAGGCAGGATTCTGCTCTCCATTGAATCATATTTACAAAACACTGGCAGAATCTAGAAAGCTCTTTAGGTTATCATTGCAGATAAGGTCCTGAAGCCGTATTAATCATTGAACCTAAAGCAAAATTCAAAGAGATAAGTTCTTCCTCAAAGTGCTTTGTTACCTTGAGCAAAGGCATTCATTACTGTCTCTATAATCGGCTTCCAAATTTGTGTGGAAGCCGATTTTCTCTGATTATAAGGATAAAGTTGATGAGAAAGTACGAAAAACAATGCTATAACGTGGAGGTTCAACGAGGCTTACGTTTATAATCAGGAAAAGTCAGCTACCCGTTTCCTGCAAATCTGGGAGCCTTGATACCTTAAAGGCATTGCCCAAGCAAAAAGTCGATTTTGAGATTTTGTGCTTACCCGGGCCTATTCGCCATGCTGAATCCGATAAACCACATTGGAGAACGCGAAAACGCGATAAAAAAAGCCCTAACGCGGTAGGGAAATCGCAGTTGGGCGAGGCCGTTCGCACCGTGACGTCACTCTCTCAGGCTTAAGGAGCGATCTTCTCATTTCCGATTTTATGCCATGCGTCGCAGTTGGCTGGTGGTGATGTTAGGGTGACTAGCGGAAGCGAGAAGATCGCTCCTAAAGCTGGGAGAGTGACGCCACTATGTGAACAGCCCCGCCCACCTGCAATTTCTCTACTCTGTTACAGCCTTTTTTCGCCGTTATCGTGCTCTCCATTGTTGATTTTCGGGTTCACCATAGCGTATAGACCCATGTATCGTCGACTCTAAAGATCGTGACGACGGTCTGCAGTGCGGCCAGTGCGCGCCGCACGGCACTGCCTCTTTATCGTAAGGCAACCTTGCTTCTCAGCAGTGTAGGCTCCCTGCGGTAGCCATGAAAGTTCCTGCAAGAAAAAAAGATGCAAAAAGAAAAAGAAAAACCACAAGAACTCACCTTCTCCACGTAATTTGGGCGAATCACTAGGCCGCAGTGCCGTGCGGCGCGCACTGGCCGCACTGCAGACCGTCGTCACGATTTTTAGAGTCGACGATAAGCACGAACTTTTGAAATCGACTTTTTACTTAAACACTGCCTTTAAATAATTCTATCTTTGCCAGCGTGATGAACGCTGACGTTTATTCAAAGCACTCTATGACGTCCTAACGGTGCATAAAGTTTGTTTTGCTAGTAAAGCTCTTTTCACTCTAAAGCAGAACTAATGCTAAGTTATGCCCCCTTCATTCGAGGTGACATGTTTGAAAGGAAGTTCAGCAATTGCTTACATGTTTGAACATGACAAAAATGTCGCATGTGTTGGTAAATGAATGGAGATTTGTGGCCATTTTCTTTGCTCAGACTATATGTATCAATTAAGCGTAACTATAATAGCTTGTCTATCTCGAAATACAAAGGGAAGGATAGCAAGTTGAAGCGGCAGATCGAAAGGAGATACCTTACTAAATGCGTTTTTGAACGCTAATGACAGCTGTAATAACATCTATGGAAATTTTTCATAGCTGTGTTCTTTTCTTGTACATAGTAACAAAACACAATATTGGTTACCCACTTTCAGATGTTTTTGTGCAGCTTTTCGCTAACAATGCCACTTAAGAAATAAGAGACTGAAAGCAAAAGCAAAATCACTAGCGAGCGATAGCGCAAAACTGACTGTACATGTATTTTTTTCTTGCTTTTGAAGAGAAGCTCCTGACTCTTTCTGGCGCTTTTCAGGGCTTTTTGGTGCTTTGAGGCGCTAGGCGTTCGGGAAAGTTTGTCCGGTCTCTCAAAGAAAAGTTGAGTTCATTCTAACATCCCCCTCTCATTCAGCTACGATGATGAGACTGGAATGAACGTACGGTAGTGCAAGCTACCTTGAAGTACTGTCTTGAGCTTTGATTTACCACAAAGATCAAGATACTATCTTCGTAATCATCAGAATGTTTTTACACGCTCACAAAATGAGCAAAATTTCCGTGATTGTCGCGGCATAACCTCCTTCGAAATGAATACACTCTGAATCCAGAAAAAGTTTTGCGCGCAACTCATTTAGGCGGATCTTTTGATATACAGCATGTGCTTGGTATTCCGTTCCAGTTTTCTCAAATTTTTCTGCGGACGTCTCTTCGCAAGGAGTGACGCAGCGCTAATCACACATCGAAAATTCCATTAAGCGCGTCGACAGTGCTGTTTCCGTAGATTGTTGAACGCTATAAAGCAGCCGGAGCCATTTTAAAAGAGATAGAAAACCTGGTCAATAGTGAAAAAGTCACGCCATCTCGAGTCTACTCAACATAGCTCTAGAACATGAAGCTCTCCTGCAAATCATATGTAATTTTCGTACTTCTTAACTTCGGTCATAGAGGTTTTCGGACACGCTGTTCTCGAAAATTGTGGTTTTGCGGGATACACGGTCTACTAGCAGAGATATAGTGAGAGCTGTAGCTAAGTCATAAAAGTTCGTGAATTCGCCTGCACTTTCCGCGTACCTGTTGTAAAATTTGCTTGCTTGCCTTAATAGGCTAAAGTCATTAGGAACCGTGCTATTGAACGATGCATGTCTCAGACTCCAGCCATTCCGAGCTATGAGGTTACGAAATCACGTCCTCATTAATACTGCCCAAAAGCCAAAGGGTTTCTTCATACTACGCCGCAGGACGCGGCCGTCTGGTTTTTTGGTCGCTAGGCGGTTCTCCCCGCACCAAGCCCGGGATCAGCGATCGCCCTGTAGAAATTAAGAGTAGGCCTAGTAAGCCACCTCTTGTAGGGAAAAATTCATACTACTCCTCCAGTTAGAAGAATAGAAAAAAACCCTGCCATCGTATCCCGCCTACGGCGCCGGGTAGCAGCAAGAACGATGTCAGGGTACTCAAGGCGCCTTTCGAATTGGACAAAAACGACACGTCTGCCCAGACGAGACGCCATGGAGACTGCCTCATGCTCTGCACCTACAACGCCAGGAGGACACTCTCCACAAACGCCAACCTCCACGCTCTTCTCGACACTGCAGAGCACATCAATACCACATCATCGCTCTGCAGGAAACGAAGTCCAGGAAGAAGGACGTGTGACAGATGAGTGATGGGACCCTCATCATTCGTGGTGAAAAGGATCCATCAGGAAACGCAGGAGGCGCGGCTTTGTCGTCCACTCATCTGTCGCCCATCTTATCGATTCGCACGAGATCCTATCACCACTGGCCATCCCACGACTACGCCCTCTACGTCAGAAGACCATAAGCATCATCAACTGCTACTCTCCAATATCAGCAGCTGACTCTTCGTAGATGCTTTCTACGAAGACGTGGAGCAGGTCGTCCGCAACGAGAAGTCCTTCTACAAGTATGTTCTGGGCGACTTTAATGCGAAAATCGGTATGCCACTAGAAAAGGCATATAGGATCGGGAAGTTTGGATATGGGCTCCGGAACGAAAACGGCAACCGTCTTGTTGGGCTTCCCTCGCACGACTTTTCCATGGTAATTCCATCTTCATGAAGAAAGAACATCGCCGTGGACTTGGGAATCGCCCAACGGAACGACTCATGATGAGATCGACCACATTCTCACCAACGGAGCTTACTCGATGTCTCGGTAGTTCCATCCTTCTGCAGTTACTCCGATCACCGCCTCCTTCGAGCGAAGATACGACTCAGCCAAAGGCTGGAAAAGAAAGTCTGTCACAGTGCCGCGAGAAGGAGGCGACTGTTGAACTGGAAGTTGTTTATGACGGTAACAGGCTGGAAGAGCTCATATCAAGTTGTGACAGGCCCATCGAGGAGGACCCAACGTACGACTACGACTGACTTCTGAAAAGATTGCGAGCCTGCGGAGAATGCGCCTCAGTGACTTCTGAGAAGAACTTGGAACGCATTTCGAAGACCACCAAGTAATTGCTCGAAAAAAAGATTTCTGAGGCAGGATCCGAGTGCAAGCCATCTCGAGCGACTGATAGCCAACGCCAGTTGCAGAACAGCTTTGCAAAAGGATCTCAGGAAGTACAGGCAAGCCAAGATACTGGAAGCAGCCGAAGGAAGACGAAGTCTCAAGAAGTGCAGAAGGGACCTCTGCGAATATCACGTACCGCTGGCTGTACTATTGAGCGAAGACGGGATTCCGACTTCTTCCCGATACAAGATGAATCTATCGCGAAGAACTTCTATACCAACCTCTTCCGCTTATCAACACCCGTGCCGATGCCCGTCGTTCCCACTGGAGAAGTACCACCACGAATTCTACCTGCCGAAGTGCGCACAGCGATTCAGACCATGAAGACGTCCACGGCTCCAGGACCAGATCATCTTTCCGTCGAACTTGTGCGAGCCGGAGGACACCGTCTACACGAGGTTCTAGCGTCGCATTTGACATCTTACCTTCAGAAGGAGAAGATTCCCGACCAGTGGAGAACGTCAAGAACCGTCCTTCTCTTCAAGAAGAGTGAACGGGAGGATCTTCGGAATTATCGTCCAATATGCCTGCTGAGTGCTGTACAAGCTTTTCACGAAGATTCTCGCTCGCATATCAAGGACACTGGATGAAGCCCAACCCCAAGAACAAGCTGGATTTCGCAAAGGATTCAGCTGCATGGACTACATGCAGACCGTTTCGAGGGTCATGGAAGTCTGCCGAGGGTACCGACTGCATCTCGTCCTAACCTTCGCCGATTACGAGAGTGTCCTCGACAACGTCGAAACCAACGCCATCTTGCTAGCGCTAGTCGATCAAGGAGTGGACCCAGCTTACTTGGAAGTTAGCCTACTGCTACAAGGACTGTACAACGACGATGCAGCTATTCCATCGCCCTTGACCATACCATTTGGGAAGGGAATTCGACAGGGCAACACTATCTCGCCGAAGCTGTTCACCGCGGCCTTGCAGTGGGTGATGAAGTCACTGGACTGGGACAAGAGAGGCAGTACGAGTTGATGGACCTGTTCAACCTTCGTTTTGCGGACGACATCGTTCTTTTTTGGAGCAGTATTACTGAAGCAGAGACGATGCTGAAGGAACTAAATAAATTAGGGAAG